GCCACTGATGGATGAATAAATGAATAAAGTTTATGTGTACGTAAGAAAACTGAGCTGAAAACATGTGTAAAGAAACAGAAACATAGTTTTATTGCCAAAATAAAAAATAAACTTAATATTATGATGAACTAAGCACTTTGCAACGTCATTAAACCGGTTGCAATACCTCATTCCGAACTTCAGCGATACAAAGTTCTCTAGTACTTTATGTCTCTGAGGAGTGTGTTCTGACGTTAAACATGCGCTTTCGTCGCCAGCTGCATGACAGTTACAACATACACAACTGCAGAAAGGTCTGAATCGGTACCACATTGCCTGTCAACGGACATTCGGATGCGTCTGTCTGTTGTTTCAACAATTACAGCTTTCGAAGTAGGAATGGAGCCACTGTCCACACGAAGAAACGAGGCTACTGAAATAAACTGGCGTCTAACTTAGAAGCTAATAATTTCATATTGTTTATTTGTTCTGAGAAAAGGCTTTTCGTTCAATTCATTGTTTCGCTTTTATCGAAAGAAAAACTTCATAGTTATATAACGCCGACAACTTGAATACATGTAAGTATGTGTATATATATATATATATATATATCTGTGTGTGTGTGTGTGTGTGTGTGTGTGTTGTGGTAAATGTGAATAAACCGGTAATTATAAATAATGACGGACAATTATATAGAATTACCAAAAACAATCGTAAATATTGTGCCAATAATCATTTTACCAGTAATTATAAATAATTACCAATTAATCATAATTAACAACGTCCATAAGTAAATCTGGGAGCCGGGATAGTGTAGTGGGTATAGTGACTGGATAGGGGCTGGAAGACTGGGGGGGTCGGTGTTTGGGTCCTGGTAGAGTCAAGAATATTCTCTTCTCAAGAGCGTCTAGACCAGCTCTGGGAACCACCCAGCCTACTATCATACCGAGGACTCTTCTCCCGGAGTAAAGCGGTCGGGCGTGAAGCTAACCACCCACCTCCAACTAGTGCCGCCTTCAAGAGAATGTGGATCTATACATCTGATCCCCCATACGCCTTGATGGCGTAGTGCTTAATCAGTTAAGCACAGGGACTACTTTACCTTTCTAGGTAAATCTAACAAAAGCTTACTTTTGTCTTTAAGTTGCAAATCCGCACTATTATTCAAAACGCATAGGTTGGTAACCCCTCTTTCTTCAGTCTTTCGGAAGTATGCATGCATGCATGAATTATTTAAAACTGCATCATAAAACGCCGTGTATTATACTAACCAGTGGACGTCCGTAATTATGAATAAAAACCGATAATTACTCATAATTATCGGTAAAAGTGGTCAATGTTACATGATTTATCATACTTCCCAATTTTATGGCAATCCTTTGTAATTTACTTACTTAATTACCTACTTACTTACTCATGGAACTGAGCCCTTCAGGAGGAGCCGCCAATTCAGCAGCTACTCAAGAATTTCCCAGCATTTTATGAAACCCGAACGTTCATTTCCGTGTTCACAATAGCCCCCCATTGGTCCCTATCCTGAGCCAGATCTATCTAATCCATACCATCCTATCCTACATCTCTAAGATCCATTTTAATACTGTCCACCCACCTACGCCTTGGTCTTCCCTGTGGTCTCTTTCCTTCTGACTTTTACACCAATATCCTATACGCATTCGTCTCCCCCATTCGTGCTACATGACCTGTCCAGCTCATCCTCTTTGACTTGATCATTCTAATTATTCGTGAGGATGAGTACAAGTTATGAAGCTCCTCATTGTGCAGTTTTCTCTAGCCTCCTGCAAGTAGATCACCATTCTCATCCTTCACTAAGTTACTGCTAGGCTGGTAACCCCTCGTAAAGTCATTTATTCCTCTATACAGGTCTCTAATATTCTTGTTCTTACTGTTCATTGCAAGGTCATCAATTTTGTCTTTCAGATATTCCTTCTTTTTGTTCCTGAAATGCCTGCTGGTTTCACGTCTTATATTGTTCAGATTATCCGCATTTAACTCGCTTTGATCCTGTAACCATTGCAATTTGGCCTGCTTTCTTTGATCTAATAATTCTGAGCATCCTTCATCGAACCATGGCTTATGCTTCTTCGGTTCATAATAACCTAGACTCTCTTGGGCAGACATTTTTATATTCTCTCTAATAGTTTCCCAAGCTTTATCAACATCCACGTCAGTTTCCAAGTTTTCCAAAGCCGTGAACCTATTTGAGTTTTCAACACAATACTGCTCTTTACCCTCTGCCTCATTTAATTTCTTGAGATTGAACCTCTCCATATGAACTCTGTGTGTTGTTTGTTATTACTGATTATTATTTATAAATACAAATTATTTAGTTTTGCCGTAATATACTCGTACACGTGCATAAATATATTGTCACGTGTCGGGTATGTGTCACGCGACAAATAACCTCACGCCGTTCTGGATAACCACTCGCTCTTACAGTTACACAATTTACAATTTCACTACTACTGCCATCTGCAGTATCACAATTACTTTTCCTGCTGAAGTCACTGCCATTCACTCGATACAACTCAACTCGTAGCTGCTGGACTTCAACTCATACTGGATAATGGTAACTGGCTCAATACTCATTACTCCTGAATAGTGTTCGCTGTTCCTTATTTAGAATCGGCACGGACAACATAGAGAAAACCTTGCTGCTCGGCAACAGATATCAGGTATTGTTGTCAGGTGTTTCTACCTACGCATTGCCTAGAAATAGTCGCTGCACGGACTCGCATGTTGCGTGACGTCACATCCTAGCGGGAAGGGGATTTTACCGAGCGTTGAGTAATGTTGGGGTGGGGGTACGTGACGTCACTCGTGGAAACGCAGAGTTCACGTGACCCCTACTTCCTGTTGCGCCGTCCACGTCACTATATATATATATGTTAAAATTGTAAAAATGAATGGTCCTACAGTTTACAACGAAATTCATAAGAACAGTGCAGTTAAAATGGATCTGAGAGAGATAGGATGAGGTGATGTGGCCTGAATTGATCTGGCTAAGGATAGGGACTAACGGCGGGCTTTCGTGAATATGATTTCGTGATTAGATACTTTAGTTTCATATTATCAGCTATTTCAAAGTGTCGAACAAAGCTATACTGTACCTGCCAAATCCGGGTAGAGTAAATTCTCCAGAATTTTAACCGTCAAATTTTTGGGTTTGGAAGAAACTTAGAAAGTCAGTGTCCAGAAGCTGCATATAAAGGTAAAGAAAGGCAAAATTATCCCTGTGTATAGATCCACATTTTGTTGACCTCGCCACTAGTTGGAGGTGAGTGGTCACGTTCTGGACACGGCCGTCTTTCCCCTGGAAAAGAGCTCCAGTACCCATTGTATAGGATGTTGAATGGACCCCAGAGTCGATCTGGATGATTGGAGAAGTAAAAATTCTTGGCCCTACTCGAACTCCGACCCCTCGATCGTCCGGCCCGTAGGCAGTCGTCATACCGACTACGTTACTGTGTGGCTACTTGTATTTCACAACATCCACTCAGACTTCAACCAGTGGAAAGGACTCATTCAAACATCAATGAAAGAAAATAGTTGTTCTGTTTAAACATCAGTTCCATTTAAAAAAAACAGCGACTGAATTACAAATAAAATTCCATTTTAACATTCAAAACGGAAATCACTTTCCTGTGTAACGACCCGGAAGATCTGAATAAATATTGTTGTGTACATACTCATATATATTCTACACAACTTGTATGAGTTTCATCAAAATTCGCATGGCCGTTCATTTTTGACAAATTAAAACGGCACCTTTTGCGCCGCTTGACGCATTTTGTTTTGCTAGACGGCTGTGTCACTTTTGATTTCCCTACTGCCTTTCGACTTAAAATTTGACGTTCTCGCAGGTGTGACTACAGAAAGTTACATCTTCTGGGATATAAAAGTGTGTAATCCGGTGAAAGTCAACCATCAATCCAAAGTTTCAGAGGAATATCGATCCATCTTCAGGGTCGAGGAGTAAGCCAAACAAGAAAGGGCAGCGCCATAGCTCAAGCGGTTAGTCGCTGGCTTCCCACCGCGGCGGCCCTGGTTCGATCCCGGGTCTGGTCAAGTAGGATTTGTGGTGGAGAAAGTGGCGCTGGGGCAGGTTTTCTCCGAGTACATCGGTTTCCCCTGCCAATCTTCATTCCACAAATTGCTCCACAGTCACCCTCACCTATCATATGGGGCTGGTAAAATAGGCCAGAAGTGACCGCAGTACAAGGGACTTAGTCCCACCCCACTAGCAATAAAAAAAGAAGCAACGCAAGAAACCAGCACGGAACAGCTAGCAGAGATCTGTTTGCTGTCTACTCCATGCTGGTTTATTGACTGGTTTTCGTTTCGAACTTGAGAAGGGAGGCGACATATATTCTTCTGAAACCTCGGTTGACTTTCCCCTGACTATAGGAGGTAGTGAAATATATAAATCTTCAGCAAACAGCTCGAGTCCTTCAATTGGATAATGTGGAAGAAAGACGAATTCATAAAAGATTTTACCAGTATACACCGAAAGGCAGAGGCAGACCAAATAAAATAAAGATGGGCCAATTCAGATTGTAACTTTGAGTTGGAAGAGTGCAACAAGAAAATTGTTTTTGTTCATTCATCAGTAATCTGTCAAGACGACAGGTCCACAGTCTCTTCCAAAACAGTTCCTCCACTTAATGCGAACTAGAGCTTTCTCTTTCAAATGAGGATATCCTCTTCTGTTCCCAAGGTCATCCAGCATCTTCTTACGTCTTCTTCCTCGTCTTCTGGTCACTTCTATCCGCCCCTCTATCTTTCCTTCAACAACTTATTTTAGAAGGCAGTTACTGCATAAGATATGACTAATCCAATTAGCCTCCCGTTTTCTTATTTCGTGTAGGATATTCCTCTGCTCACTGACTCTAAATAACACTTCTCCATTTCTCACATAATCGGTCCAACTGATGTCTCCATCCTTATTGTTGATAATAATGATGATAACTATTAATGACTTAAAATAATAAATATTATATTACCTGCGTCTTGAACTCGGTTGTGTGTCATAGGAGATGAACGTACCTGCAAGAAAAGAGATTTCACGCATATTATATTTGCTTGAGATACAAGATGTAAATGTAGAAATGTCACTAGTTTCTTCTGTTCAACTTTGTGCAAGTTATGACTGGAAAGATTTTATTTCAATTACACAGAATCATACACGATTTCTTGTCATATTCAGACGAAAAAAATGAACACACTAGTAAACAAGGAAGGTAAAAAAGATAAAGGTAAAGCTATCCCTGTAAGAGGCCGTGGAGGCTCATAGGCTTGTGAGACGTCGAGGCTCACACATTTTATACACAATCGGCTAATAGATGGCGGTGAAGAAACAAGGAAAGAAAAATTTAACTTTTTCTGGTATTAACAAGCCGCGTCTCGCATACACGTAAGCTTGATGTCTGCGCTGGAGACTTTTGAAACATCTTGCGGTCGAATTTCTAAGTTCAATATTCTCATTATTAAGCCAGGAAAGAAATTACCTATTGTTCTCTTCTATTTTTCGTTTAGACTTAATTATCAGGAGGTGGAAAATGTAGAAGAAAGAAACTACCTTGGAACTCGAACACAGTAAACTTTTCAGGTATTTCAGTTCTTTTGGGCATTACCTCGAGGACCTTAATGGGTGTACTGAATTTCAGATGTTAATTACACCTTGAAAAGTCTTAAGAGGCATGTACTGTAGACAAACGGTGGTATGTTAACTACACTGATGCGGCCTCCGTAGTCTAGAGATAACGTTCCCACTTCATGACTCGTAATACGCGGGTTCAAATACCCGGCGGAGATCGTCGAATTTTTAAGGGCGGAAAAATTCAGGGAACAAGTCCTCCGGGAGGGACTTTAAGCCGTGGGTCCCGTGTCGTAGCTTTACGGTACGTAAAAGAACCTCATGTCTCTAGGAGACCTACGAGCAAAATTAGGCCAAGTTTCCCGCCCAACTAGTTTCCAATTCCTCCGGTAGATGGGGGAAGCATTATAGATACCTCTCAGCTAGTAGAGTCGGTCTCGCTGGCTGGGCGGGACTGATGGTAAGCACCAGTACCGGTAGGATATAGAGACTGGTAGAAATCATAGAGGGAAGCACAATGGACCAATACAGGTCTCAGTGCATGGGGAAACCCACCCTCTCTAATAACTAACTAACTACACTGAACAACAGATGTTCACTTCTTCAACAAAATATATGAAATCATACTTTTTTATTGATTATAAAAATGAAAATGAGAAGTGGCTGCAAGACCGGAAAGTACACACCACTCACAACACAGTTTGTGACAATGGCGTTATTTAAAGATAATAAAATTTTAATGAGCATTAAAACAATATTTTTCACATAACGGTTCACATAACTTATACGAACACCACGAAAGAGACCAAAACTGTAAATGTCCGCTGCTTTCGCTCCAAATTCAATACATAAAACTGTGACGTGATGCAACATTTTTCTGTCAGGTTTCAAATTCATTTCCTATACTATTATAACACTACGCAGGAACTGATGTTCTCACAATGATTGCAATGAAGGATGTTATTATCTGGGATATGACGCCGTGTAGTCCGGCCTGCCATGTGCTCTCACGCTGGTATCTTGTTCAGCTTATACTCTGAAGATGGAGGTGATATGTTCCTCAGAAATGTCGGTTGACTTTCAACGGACTACAAGACGTTATATCCCAGAAGATGTAACTCTTGTTACAACAACCTCGCTGACTAGTGTTATTATGTTTGTATATCATAATTACTGAAAAGGTGTGTATGGGCTATATTGCAGTTAGTACTATATAGCTTTGAGGCGTACTTACTTACTTACTCACTCATGGAGCTCAGCCCTTCTTGAGGAGCCGCCAATTCTGCAGCTACTCGAGAATTTCCCAACATTTTATGGAACCCAAAGGTTCATTACCGTGTTCACAAGAGCCCTGCACTGATCCATATCCTGAGCCAGATCAATCCAATCCATACCATCCCATCTTATCTATCTAAGATTCATTTTAATATTGTTCACCCACATACGTCTTGGTATTCCTTCTGGCTTTCCCACCAATATCCTATATGCATTCCTTCTACGCAATTAGTGCTACATGCCCTGCCCCATGTACTTGGAGAAGAGTACAAGTTATGAAGCTCCTCATTATGCAGATTTCTCCAGCCTCTTGTCAATTTATCTCTCTTCGGTACGAATATTCTCCTTAACACCCTGTTCTCAAACACCCTCAGTTCCTCACCTCTGAGGCGTAGAAATACAAATTATCTTCTCCTTGAGCCACAACAACTGAGCTATCGAGACCGGTATATTAGTACTGGATCTGCTCATGACTTTCACGTGGATGTATTTTTGTTCCCGAAATTCGGTTATTGCCGACCATTGCAAATATTACGTACATAATTTTCCTGAGACTCTATGGTAAGGGACAGGTATGGTACGTCAGAGGGAAGAGTGACCTGCTGCCTGTGCATTTCATTCCCATTTCATGACGCTGAACCGATTAGCTTCGTTGCACCACGTCTGACAGGCATTATGAGGGAGTAGAATCACTGATGTTGAGCCAACTGTCCTTTGTGTTTTTGTAGTTCTCTTCGATCTCTCCGGAGAAAAATGCCAGGAAAATATATCGAAATAGACAATAAAGATTTCCTTCTGAAACCTTCTCTGTTCGTCGCTCACTCGTGACTGTATTCCCGGATTATTCCTCGAATTCTGCTGTCGAAACAGCAATTTCCAAATAACTGAACATGTCAAATATTGTCTACAGAACGTGATTTCTTTAATAACAGTTTACGGTCTGACACCTCATGTTTCGCTCTGAAAGCCAGTCTGGTTCGGCACTCATGGAAAACAGATGACTACTGCCGAATTTTGGGTACAGGTCCACTGCATGAAAAGAAGCCGATTAACCAGTTTACGTTATATGTGACATAAATACACAACTCTGTATTTAAAAATACAAAAATTGCGGTTTCGTAACATTCTTTTACTTTATTCTTTCTAGAAGGATTATTCATTATGGCCTCTTGCGGCTATGTAGTAATCAGAGAACGGACTTTTGAACACGTATAAGGCTGCTTGTATATGTAATTAGCCCGCAGCAAAATACTCCACACGGTATGCTTGTAGGAGGAAGCGAAGTGAGCTTATGATTTGAATCTCAGCATACAACAATTGGCCAAATTTAATGCGTCCCTGACTATAATACCCACATAAATTGTGGAAGATTAAACAGGACAAACAGTTGTTTAAATAACTGCATGAAACAGTCCCACAGGGTTGTGAGACGTCGAGGCTCCCACATTTTCTAGACAATCGGCTCACAGATGGCCATGATGGTGTCAGCATTAGGCGCCGGTCGACCTTTGCACTCCCCAGGAATATTCCTGGTACTCATTTCTGTTAGAGGCTGAGTCGACACCAGGGCCATAGTGCGGCTGGAAAGTTTAGGTCAATAAAAAAACAGTTACCTCATCGGGAATCGAACTCGTGACATTGTGGCTTGTAGCATAGTGCCTCAACAAGCTACGCTACTGCGTACGCCACTAAATAGTTCCTACATAGGGTAACACGTTCACAGTATATTGCACATTTTTGGAAATGTTTCATTTTTATGTCAGAATGAAAGTAAAATTTTCAGTGGAGTAAAATTATTGTGAGCACTGTCTTTAAGCAGATAAATTGCTTGTTTGTCTCTGTTTCGAAATCAGGTATGGTGTTCACCTCAACCCTTGATTTGTTCTGACGTCAAGAGTAACGAGGGTGCAGGACGGTTCCGGACATCCCTTATATGACCAACAGTTACCGGTGCAACGGCGTCGGATTAAGATTAAATCCACTGAAATAATTAATGGTGAACAGTTGAATGTCTGCTGGTGGCACACAAGCTGAAGTCTTCTCTCTGTTGTTTTGCTCCACGCTAGTACTGCGAAAGGCAGACATATTAACTTCCCATGGACTTCATCTTAATCTGCCGCTTTACACTCCTTTTGTTGGGCCTTGGCCGCTTTTCCAGCTCCTTAATCTTATAAACAGTCTATAAGATTCCTTAGACGGGGGATCAGCCCATCGCAAGGCCGCTACCTACACAAAGAACAGCACAGATACAGAATAAACGCATACACACACCCATGATTTCGCTCGGTGTAACCAGCAGGCCTACAATTCCCTCACATTAAACTAAATAACTGCCGCACGAAATCAGTCTAGTCGAAGCCTTACACATTTCAAATTGGTTTCGGTCTTTTTCACATACTTTACTCCAGTATTCCTCATTTTACCACTCTTCATAATCTTACAAGTGGAAGCATGTGCATACAAGACGCTGGTCTAAAAGAAATTAAATTATTATTATACCATTTGTGGGACCCAGTCTCATATGTGAGGATAATATTGAAATCTGTCTTAGTGAAATAGAATATGAGGCACTGAATGGATTAATCTGGCTCAGGATAGAGACCAGCGGGGTTGAGGTCAATAAAAGGTAGAGTATTTCTTCAATAGCTGAACGACTCTCCGTTTCTCAAAGAGAATGCTGCTCCATGGAGTAAACATCGCATGTCAATAAATCGTTGAGAAGTATGTAACTTTCATTAAGGTACACATTTAAAATAAATCTAAAATAACAAGGCAGCTGGGTGGATTACCTTGCAAAATTGACTAATTGACTTAGCGCCTTTAATGTGCGTGTGATTTCGGAAAGGTAAAATTCACTGTGCTCACGACCAGCGGGGTTGAAACTTGTTTCTGTCGATGGCAACATCTAACCTCATTTTTCGGAAAGCTGAAACTTACGAGCTTAAACTGTCAGAAGATGTCATATGGCGTTTATTTCTGTTGACAATGTCACACAACAGAGCTGTGCCTTAAGAAGAACCGGGTACAAAGCGACATATCTCGTTCACATTATTGAAAATGATAAGAGAAAGGACATCTAAACTGTCTATGACGAACGGACCCCACTCTGAAGAACTACAAAACAATATGGCGAAGCCAAGCGACTGTAATA